GTCTGAAGGTATACAAATCTTTATAATTGGACTAAACTCGGTGTAAAATGACAAAGAACTGTGTTACATATTGCAATCACACTTTTAGGCTCGAGATTATTTAAAAATTCGACGCCGATCAAAATATATACACCTTATAAGGTTGTCACACACTTATTTAATTACACAATTTTTTTTTTTATTTCCAGGCGTCTTTTAAAACAAGAAACTGAAAAGTTAAATCTACAAAATCAATTACAAGAATCGCAGAAAATAAGTCAAACACTAAAGCGAATTTTGGAAAATTTGCCTACAACAAATGTAAAACAGAAGCTTGTTGAAACTCAAGTAAGTATTTTTTCTCCAATTTTAAACAAATTGAATACAATGTTAGTATACAATACATTTAATATATCTTCTTTTTTCTTTCATGAACAGCGTATTAACAAAAAACAATTGAAGAAATTAAAAGCACTCAGCGCTGAATTGGCTATCGATGCAATTGAATTGAAGGCCCGTGAATGTATTATCGATGAATTTAAGACAACTTTAAAAATGACCAAGGTACAGATGTGTGCCACAGAGGATACCCTCAATTCCCTGTCAAGTTTACTGGAACCCACCACCGACTATTCGAGTCAAGAGAATTATGTTGATTGCGTTTTTACAACCACAGAACCATCATGGCAAAATACCGATTCAAATAAATCGAATGAGAAATTGGAATAGCTTTTAATATCTTAAATATATATTTTGTAAATTAATATCAAATACCTTTAAATTGGATTGAATGCTTAATTTACTCTTAAATACCATTTGGATGTTTCAGCGAGGGTGTAAACTGTGTCTGTAGATGCGCTGGTGCGGACATACATTGCATTTGCATTATTGTTTGCCTTTCCTGCAGTAGCTTCTCTTTGGTTTTTCTTTCGTTTAGCAATTGATTTTTCACCTTTGTCAAATCGTTTTTCAATTCCTCCAATTCTACAATATGGGATTTCTCTTCAATACTTTTAACGGATATTTCTGCTTTCAATGCTTTTAATTTTCGGGTTTTGAGTGTTAGGGCAGACTAGTGGGAAAACAAATTTTTAAATAATAGAAGCGAATGGTGTAAATCATACGTACCTTAACTTCATTTAATTCTTCCTTGATTTTAATACTTGGCAGCTTGACAATGAATTCTTTTAAGGTACTATATAGTCGTTGGGATTCTTTTAAGGCTCGTTCTTGTTCCAAATTTGTTACATTGTAGTGTAGAAGTTGTCTGCAAAATGGAGAATTTTAAGAAAATCAAGAAATAACTGGTAATAAACTCTCAAAAATACTTCAATTGGACCAAATCAAACCATGGTCGATTTGCTAACAGTTTTTAATTGAAAAACATTTTGGAAACAGTTCAGATTTCTTGATATAACTTTGCCTTTCCTGAGTGAACTCCTTTTACACCAACCTTTCTTGATCGCTCCTATCCCCAACAAATCAATTCGAATGGCGATTTATATAGTTATTCAGGATGTAGAATTTCCCATTCCTTATGCAAGAGTTTTGTTGTATTAATGAAGAGGCATTTCGGAGCTGTCTATGTTCTTTCTCCCGAATCGATCTCGAATATCACACCTGTCAACAACTTTCCCTTTCGGTTTATATTTTTCACAGATATGTGTCTGAATTAGTCTAATGGCTAATGACGTCCAAAATGTGCCTCATCAAACATTGGTTTTAGACCCCATAATTCTTTGAGCCAAATCCAGTTCACACAATTTGGATCAGAATTACAAATGTCCATCCGTCGTTGTTGTAGCAGCTCTATTGCTTTTACACAATCGGCACACGTTGGCCAAGTAAGACTCGGTGTAGTTTCGGATCGTAGACCCCTCTGTCGTGGAAACGATGTCCATCCGTTTGTATAACTGGTTGGTGCGCATGATAACTTTTGAAGGGAATAACAGATTTAATCCAAACTTTAAACATCATAATATTTCTTCAAGTTCGAAAATGGGGAATATCAGTCCACTCAATCTGGTACCTCCCCCACAAAATGGTCAAAATTTTGCTGAAATTTAATTTTATAATAGCATGTGAAAGAAATATCCTATTTGAACCAACCACAACCTATTATCTTTACCAAGCCTAGATTAAGTTCGAAGATGGGACCCATTGGCCCACTCCTTCTGGTACCACCCCCACAAACGGTTAACATTTCCAATATTTGCAAAATCAATATCAGGCGAATGGAATGTCCGATTTGAACTAAACTTTGAACAACATATTATTTTCACCAAGCCTACATCAAGTCCACCTCCACCAATGGTCAAATTGGTCAAATTTTTCAATATTTATAAAACCAATATCAGGCAAATGGAATATCGGATTTTAACCAAACTTTGCACAACTTATTATCTTTACCAAGCCTAGAACAGGTCCGAAGTTGGGACCCATTGGTCCCCTACTTGTGGTATCACCCCCAAAACGTGTAAAATTTGTAAATCCTATACCAGGCAAAAGGGACATCCGATTTGAACTTTGCACAAACAATTATCTTTACTAAGCCTTTATCAGGTCCGAAGATGGGACCCATTATCCTACTGCCTCTGGTACCTCCCCCACAAAAGGTCAATATTTATAAATTTAGTTTGAAGCGAATTAAGTAACCGATTTGATCCACATTAAATCCGAAACATCTTTGATAATAATATATAACTTTATAAAGCGAATAATAAAACCTTTGTGCAATTCCGAAGACCTCCGCAAGTCGATCGTCAAACCGACAGACACTTTTTATCTTGATTTATAATATTATGCGAACTGTCAATTCGATTTGAACTTAACTTCGCATAACCAAATATTTTAACAATGTATGCATAAAGTTGAAGATGGGTTATAGCCGAAGGGTGAGGAAGATTTTTTGCAAACAAGTTCATGTTTGGTATTGTGAAAATGTGACCCAATATTTTTCAAATGACATATTACCAATTCCAAAAAAAAAAAAAAATAATTTCCAATTATTTTTTTCTGTTCAACTGACCTTCTCAGAAATTGTATCTTCTGTATCAAATCACACTTGTGCGGATCTTTACCCTTCAAATTACGCCAACGATGAACATTCATGGGTGTCATCATTTCCTCCTGCAGAGCTCGCGCCTTTACACGCTGCTGATTGAGGATACGATGCATTTGCAACAGTTCATGCCTCAAGTTGGCTGCACTCTCCCGGTCCTTACGCAGCACATTACGTTCGGTAAGTAAATTCTTAATTTCCACCCTCATCAATTTCATATCATCACAATTTTTTGAGAATTCCGTTTGCAATATATCATGACTTCGTTGAAGATTTTCCAACTCGGTTTTCAGATCGTTAAACTGTTCCTCCTTGCGGGTTAGAGCAGCACACACAGAATTCTTTTCATCGATTAAATTGTCCAACTCCCTTTGGAGGCGGGTCATTTTCTTAACTTCTTCCTGTTGTGATTTAAGAAATTTATCATTTTCTTTTTTCTTTTCGTACAGTTCGGCTCGGGTGTGTTGATGATTTAGCTGCGACGTACGTAATTCATTTTTCAGCATACGTCGCTCCTTTTCCATTTTATCGATTTGTAATTGCAATTTGCCTATCTCACCATCACGATAGGCCACATTACCCTTCAACGTTTCAATGGTGTTTTGTAGATTTTCAATATTCGTGCGAAGTTTGGATTTCTCCTCATTCAGATTTTGTATCGTACGCAAATTTGAATTGTTTTCATTGACCAACATATCATATTGAGTTTTCATTTTAGAATATTGAGTCTCAGCATCACTGACCGTGCGTTTCAATTCAAGTTCATAGGATTCTTTGAGGTGGATTTTATCTAAGCAAAAAATGAATGAAAACTAAAAATGTATTATATAATTTTGATTTAATTGTGTTTGGATACTTACTTTGCAAACTATCCATTTTATCCAGCAGACTCTGAATTTCATCTGTCTTCTTGGACTTTTCATTATTCAGGAGTATAATTTCTTCGTTGAGTTTTTTATTTTTCCGCTCTTGCAACAGCAGCGAGTCCTTGAGGGCTCTGATTTCATGTTGAGTTTCTTGTACAGTTTGTTGAGACTCCTCAGCTGTTTTATGTTCCGCCAACAAATCCCTTTTGAGAGCATCTCTTTCCTTAGTCAGGTTGTTGTTATTTCTTTCGAATTGTTGTACGAGTCGTCGCAGGGCTTCGAATTCTTTATCTTGTGTATTGAATTGGGTTCTGAAATAGAAAGCACAAAAATCAAATCAAAAACTAAAGTTTAATTTTTTTGCAGCTATCGATCAGGTTTGTCAACAATTTTGTAAATAGATGTGTGAGAGTAACTGAGAATCACCCATATGAAAAAAGTAATTAGGGTAAACGTGTGAATTGCTAGGATTCAATCTGCTTAAGACATACTTAGGTTGTATCTGTAGAAGCTCTTCAATTCAGGGCTGAAGACGAATTGTTTAAGCTTTTTTCAGCTACATAATAGGTGTTGAAGGTCTTTTATGCATAAAAGAGCTGAGGATGGTGCTCTATTTATGAAGACATATTGAAGGACTGTACAAGGTATGAAAAAGAAGGTCTTCTATCTATAGCTGTCAACTGGAATGTTTGGTATGGAAAATATTTTGAAGATTTAAGGGGACCCCCATTCTCGGGGTCAATTTTTTTTTTGATTTAATTCGATTCTACACTAATACAAGAATGTCTCTACAAAATTTCAAGTGAAAATCTCAAGAACTCTTGAAGATATAACCGATTTATTGTGTCAGCATCAAGTGACGGCTAAAGGGCTTCTCAAACTTTAAACGCGTTTTTCTCTTTTGCGAATGGCGGGCACGATAACTCAAAAACTAATAACCCAATCGATTTCAAATTTTTACACGTTTCTCTGTGAGTGTATAGCTATCGTATGAACTAGGATAAAGCCAATCGGTGAAGATCTTCCTTATTTTTTAACTTGGTTTTTGGTCAAAATTCGGCGATTTTTCAAAAATATTTTTTCAAAGGTCCGCCATTTTGTTAATTTTAGAGCGAAGTCAATAATCCTAGTTCATACGAGAGCCAGACATGTACTCTTTCTAACACCGTTGGAATTTTCGGATTCCGATGATCCAGTGAGGAGTTATCATGCCCGCCATCAAAAATAAGGACTTTTCTTTAATTACAAAAAACAACAACAAAACAATAACAAAATTTTTTTGTAAATTATTTTTCTTCTTTTTTAAATCTTCAAATATATATGTGCAAAGATGCAAACCTTAACAAGCATTGGTATTGATTTACCAGCCCATTGAAAATCTTGAAAAATTAAAATCGAGAATGGGTGGGGTTCCCTTAAATCACATTTTTTAAACGGAGAGTGTGTAATTGGGATTTTGCGATTATGGAGATTGTAAAATATATTTACGGAAGGTTATCAGTAAAGGTTACGACATAGCCGCAATATAAAGTTCGGGCCCAATTTTAGGTACTTCGATGGTTCTAGGCTCATTTCCAAACCGAAGTGCCTTTAATATAGCATTCCATAAACAATTTTATATATATGTTCATGTTTTGATATAGCCTCCCTATACAGATATCACATTTTTTATTTTACTGAGGGTTCTTAGTTCAACTGAAGTGCCTGAAAAATTCCGATCTATGTTTTAGAGCGTAGAAAAAACTTCTTCGCAGAACATTTTCCATATAACAGTACCTTCCGCTTTTGGTATTTTGAGAGTTGAATCCACAGTTCTTTACCGAAGTAAATGTATTTTGGAAGTACGTGTTCTTGGAGGACAACAAAACCCATTGCAAAATCTCGAATATAGGTCCATGTTTGAATGGTGGGGAGGATAACAAGTTGCCCTGATCCTTTGTAAGTCAATAGCCGATCAGTGGTAAGCTATGTGGTTTGCAAATGTAAGTGATATGCGGTACAAGAACATTCAGGCCTGCCAGAATTTCGTCCTGAGAACGCCAACAAGGTATATCCTCATGACATGACCCCCCATGGACGAAACTGTCATAGACTTATGGACTGGATTCCTCCGACCAGACAGAGAAAAGAGAGATATTCAGGCTATAGAGAGAGTTCTAGGGTACACACCTTTAAATCAAGAGGCCTTACAGGCTGGTTTAATAAATATTGAAAATGCTGATCATTTGTGAAGTGGGTACTAGAACGAGTGGACCAATAGGTCCCATCTACGGACTTCATCTAGACTTGGTAATGATATAAGGTGTTCAAAGTTCCATTCGCATAATATTGGATTTACAAATATTGAAAGTGTTGACACTTTGTGTGGAATGTGCTAAAAGAAGTGGACCAATGGATCTCATCTTCGGACTTGATCTAGGCTTGGTAAGAAATAGGGTGTACAACATTTGGTTCAAATCACATTTTGTTGTGGAGGTTCTAGTAAGAGTGTACCGATATTCTCCATCTTCGAACTTGAACTAAGTTTGGACGAAATATTACGATGTGCAAAGTTTGGACGAAATCAGTTACGCACTTCGAGAGTTATCGTGTGAACCAGCCGGCCAGACATACAGACAGACGGACGGATATTTCTAAATCGACCCCAAATTGTCTAAAAAGCCACACTTTTGCGGTATTCAAATGTATATACCCTTATAGTCACAAGCCTAAAGTTACAAAAATACACTTCTAACCATTCTGCCAGCGAGCATCAGCATCAATGGAAATTGAATTGAAATCCTCTTTCCGTTTTTACCAGAATTTCTGGAAACAATTAGGAACCTTCCTGTTTTATAAACCACCACTCCTAGACGGTTCGACCAGTTCTACCAGCATGCCATCTTCGGAAAGGCCTTTCAGTTGACAATTTAGGTATATTCTAGATCTTTGCCGATTCGAGATATTTGAGATTGTCATGGAAAATAAAAGCACGGCTCAACGACGGCAGCCTTCCCTCGGGCATCATTTTTTTCTGATTCGGGATATATGCACTTTTCTGGAAAATTAATGTAACTGCAATTTTTATAACATCTGAAGAAAATCTCTCCCTCTCTCTGGATATATGATCTGAACTTTATTTAAAACTATACCTACTTCAGTCTTAGATTCTCTTCTTCAATTTCCTTACGAGACTCCTCCAAGGTACAGTATTTGCGTGAAGCGTTGTCTTGCAATTTCGCCAACTTCGCATTCTCTTGCTTCCATTTGATTATCTCATCTTCTCGTATCTGTTTTCAGGAAAACAAATTACATTAATAGTACATTAATTTTTATCGCAATTTTTAGAGTTCGGTCTTACCTTCAATAGATTTGTCTTCTGTGCCAAATCACGTTTATTCTTATCTCTCTCCTGTATGGCATATTCCAGATCGACAGTGATTTTGGCCAATTTGTTACACGTCACATTGTGTTGAGTATTCAAATGTTCCAAATTAGTTTTCAGTGATAAAATCTGGAGATTTTGACGAACTTTCATTTTGGTTAATTTTTCCAGTTGTAGCTTGGACATGGCAATTTGTTCGGTATATTTCAGTTCATCGGTTTTCATTTGATTCAGATCTTTGGTAAGGGCATCAATGCGTTTCTTGCTATTGAAAGCCTCAGTAGAAGTTTCCTTTGGAGAAATACATTTAATCTTAAAATAATTGTTTCTATTCTCTACCGAATTTACTTACATCTAAAACCTTTATTAAATTCTTATTTTTCTCCTCCAAGGTGTGATTTAATGCCTCCAATTCGGTGGTGTAGTTTCGCTGCATTTGCAAACGTTTGTTGAGATCTTTAATTTCACTTTTCAGATTTTCCTTTTCCTTGTTGTCATCTCGGCGACTACAAAAAAACCATTTCAATTTATCTACATACTTCTGGAAAATCTATCCATTACTTACTGTTTCAAATTAGCCCTGCTATCACTGAGATTTTTTATTGTCTCCGCCTGATCATCGACAATTTCTTTGAGTTTTGTCAGCTCATCTTGGGCGGTTTGTTCGCGTAATATGGCAGCATCCTTTTGGCGCCAGGCACTTTCTAGAAAGAAAACACAAACACACCACTACAAAATGCAACTTGTTTTTGTAATACACCACAACCACTTACCAATAACCTCTCTTAATTGAGCTATGGTCTCTTGATCCAATTCCGACATTTTTCGTGCATCATCGAGCTGGCCATTTAGTCGTATCACTTCAGCATCTAGATCTTGACATTTTGTTTGTTCCAGAAACCAATTGCATTTGTAGCGATTGCTACATATCAGTAGGCGTTGTACATTATCCGCATTATCTTGGGTATCCTTTTGGCGTAATGCCTTGGTGGCCTTAAACAAATATTGAATTATTTACAATGGTACAATCTAATATTTCATTTCGTAATTTACCTCTAGTATTTTACTCAATAAATCCTTATAGAATTGATCATCAAATTCATCGGGTACCAAGGGTTCTTCCGAACCGGAACCCTTTTCACTAGCCATTTTTAATAGAAATAATTACTATTTGTTTTGTTAAATTTTAATTACAACACCTTCTGCAAGGTAAATGCTTTTCGGCCTTAAGGAAGAAATGTGTTATTTTATTTTCTTTGTTTTGTTGTTGTTATCAAACAAATTTGTTGTCACACATCACACATAATTTACCAAAGCAACCAACAAACGAACCAACCAACCATCCAGCCAGACAACCAACCGAGCGACCAAACAAATCAAACAACAAATCCCGCGAAAATCCAATGAGGAAATATTTGTTGTGGAAAGAGAGTGTCAGGGAAAGTGAGAATGTTAGAGAAATGTTGAGAGAAAGTCAACTGAAGTATCTTAGTGCACCAAAATTAAACATACCGAATATTGTAAATTTTTGTTTACCCTACTGGAAGTCTCTGAAATTACATCGTGAGCTTTTTTGCTATATACTTTTTCACGTCAATTATCACGACAATAGTTAATCGATTACATCTTTGTGTGGCAATAAAGCGCCGTCCTCGGTCGAATTTTTTATACCCTCCACCATGTTGGATGTATTCGAAATTTCTTAAAAAGGTACCGTTAAATGTATATGGAGAGTCATGTAAACAGATGAACCTATAATGAGAATATTCTGGAAATAAGTTATTTTATTCACGAAGAATATGAAATGCCACCTGCACTCCAGGTCTGCACTATCTGCGTAGCTTGCTCAGCATGATTTTCCACTTCAAAACGACTCTCTCCTTAAATGATGATAGCGAGCGGTCCGCATACGCACATGAGATTCCATCACAAATGGAACACTGTGAACGACCTTACGCCACATCCCTCCCGACCGAAGCACTGGCTTCCACGACACAAGCCTTCATATCTCGGAAATAACACGCCCAAAGAGCATCTCACGGCACCCGATCTCTGACAACCTTGTGAGCACGTTATTCCATGCGCCTTTGAAATCCACAAATATTCCTGGGATATATTTCGAATTTGACCCCCAGGCTATATGCGGCATTTTGGGGAATTTTCCCCGTTTTCGACACAGTTTTGATCGCCGTCTTAGCAATCCTTTCATACAGACCTAAATTTAGGAGTGGATTATAGGGCAACCAATCGTACAAATTACATCAGATGTGGACATGTTCCAATGCACTTTTGATGTAATGTTCGTTCATAATAGTTGGAGACAAATCAATGCACTCTTTTCTCCCTCAATTGAACATTTCTTTTTCTCATTACACAAACACTCTCGCTCTTTCTATCTCTCCAACTGCAAATGATGGTAATGTACTCAAACAATTTGTTGTTAATAGCTACCATTGCTTGTTGTTGTAGTATTCGTTGTTATTATTATGTATTACAGTCAAAGTTGTTATTGCATTTCCCCAACAAATAAACACACAATTTCTTCTTTCTTTTTGTGCCGGTTTTCTGTGTTGTTGATGTTGGATGTATGACGACAACAAGACTCTTATTTTCTGCTCGAATTGTTGTTTAGTCAAGTACGTGAGTGAGGGAGTGAGTTGGATTGGAGGGGGGAGGTAATGGGTTTTGCATGCGGCCTCTATGAGAGCGAACGCGTGTACTTGCAGACGAACCAACAATTGTTGCTTCAATCGTCGTTGTTGTTGTTGCATTTCGAAGTGGTAATAGTTTCCATTTCACTTGGCCATTTCGTTCGACGAATGTTTGGCTGCTCAAGACCATTTTTACGACGATCAACACTTTCAGTTTCATTTTCAATTTCTTGGTTTATCGTTTGTTTGAGCGTTCCTTCGTTTGGTCGTCGTTGTACGCGCGGGTTTTCTGACGTTTCGAGTTGTTACAATAATTTCTTTTTTCCTTAAAATTCATATTGAAATTTGTGATAAATCCAATAAATCAAACATATTTCATATATTATAAAAAATATGCAAAAAGTTTACATTTTCATTTGATCGGGTTTATGTTCAAGTTACAAAGGAATAGTCATTAGTTTGCTAGAGAGAATCAGTGCCTGTGCTTGTTGATAACAAAGTTTATAACATTATTTGTTTAATAAACAAAATTTATAAAAAAAAATCAACTACAAATCTTTGTTTTAAAAACTTTTCCAAAAGTGATTATGGCTCCTTTGAAAATTGCCATAGCCTCAGCTATCCATCTACCATCTTCGGCCACACTGTCATTGTCTGGCACAACGTCGTCGTCGTCGTCATCGTCAACATTGGCCAGACCCCAACAAACAGTTTTGGATATTGAGAAAATTAAACGCCATTTTAGCTGGTCCGATTGTGAGACAATGTAAGTTGATTGAACTTTTTTTCTGTTTCTTTCGTTCATTTTGTCGCTATTGCTTCTATTATTTGGTACGACTAATAAGTTGTGATGTATGTGAGTGAACGAACATACATACAAATATTTGAATTCGTCCATTATGACGATGTACAAAAATGAAATGCATACATTTATACCAAGTAATAGTATAATTAAATATTTTTTTAAATTAATAATTATAATATACAAATGAATAGCATGCTTCTTTAAAACGTGAAATCATGCGAAACATTCCTTAGCATTAGTTATTAAAACAATTACGAGTCAAAGTTCTGCAAAAATGGAAAATCTGCAAGGATTCGATGTTTAGAATGTATATTGCACATTTCATACCGACTGGTTTTGAAAAAGTGGAAAATTAATAGCTCCGATCGGCCACGTTTCGAAGAAAGGAAGGCACGTATCATTAATGATTTGTTGACACACCTAAGTCAGTATCCGGAACAACAAACGATGGCAATACTGCTAGGCGTTTTTTTAGCCAACCTGGCTTGGCATCGTCGATAACGGGTGTTGATGAAAAATTAATTAAACATTTTAGTATCATCCTTTCAACCATGGCCTGTGGATATGCTATTAACGCAGAGTCATTTAAAAAACTTACTGAGGAAACATTTATTGTTTTCGTGGAATTATATCCTTGTTTTTATATGCCTTCAAGCATACACAAAATATTAGTGCATGGGGCTGATATAATTAAATGTGCAGCTTTGCCCATAGGAATGTTGTCTGAAGAAGCCATGGAATCCAGAAATAAGGACTTTCGGAACTACAGGGAACTGTACTCCAGAAAAATTAGTCGTGAGGAAACAATGAGGGATCTTTTCAATAGGTTGCTATTTTCTTCAGATCCAAAAATATCAAGTTTGTCTCGTAGTACATCTCTTAACCATCGATATATTGAGCCACTATCCAATGCTATCAACTAATTCAGATCAAAACTCGGATTCTGAATGTGATTAGTATTTAATAAGTAACGCCTAAATTTTGTAAACTATATGTAGTTTAATGTTTTAGATATGTAATATTAACAATAATAAAGATATATATAATAACAATAATGTTTGCCCTTAACCCACTTTTTTCCCTCGAAATGTTTCGGAATTTTTAAAAGAAGCTCCCATTTAAGGAGTACTATTAGTTATAACGAAAAATGTTGCTTATTATAGAATGTTTCAAATGCTTCAAAATAGTAATTTTCACCTAAACTTTTAAGTTTATTCTAAAAAAAAATCGGCGCTTAATGGGTTAATAAACAAAAAATTGCCAAATTTTTCATAAAATAATTAAAATTGTCCATCTAAATCTATTCTTATCCAAAATATCGATAAACATACAGTAAAACATGTACTTTTATTTTCTGCGCCCTAGATCTGCATTTTTTCCCACTGTGCGTCGGTCGTCTCCTTCTGGTGCCTCCCACATGTTGGGTCAATATTTTATATACTTCTAAATTTAATTTAAAGCGATAAACGAGTTGATCAACGCTACAGTATTTTGAGGACAATTATACAACTTGAAATCAAGGGGGTGATGTTGAAATCAAGTGTTTTACCTTGATTGGACGGGGGCTTTTTAATTTACCAGTTATATTTTGAAATAAATGACCCTATTTATATACATTCACGTTTTGGCATTGTCCGCACCGTTGTAACTTTATACTTTCTCACGGCGAATAATTTTTTTACTTGTTCACTTTTCACTCATTGTTTTCTTTTACCCTCCTTAATATTTAATGTAAACATAAATGCATCAGCATTTGTAGACGTTAACCGGTTTAAAACGTCATTAAAAGGTAGTTGTGAAAACTACGTCACATTGCCCCAGCATCCGCAAATATGTAATAAGTATTTCTACAGAAACTGTTCGAGTCATATTCCATTGTATGGAATATTTTCTACAAATGTAAATTCCACTTAAATGGTTTAATGTGTGTCTGTGTTTGAGTAATAGTTATAAGACTTATTTTTAACAAACAAACTATAGGCAAACAGTTTAATAAAAAATCAAACAGTTGTTACTCACACTTATATATTGGACAATTACCATGTGCTTTAGAGTCTATTCCTGAAATCTTTTTAATTATGAATTTTATTTTTTAAATAAATTACAACGTTTTTATTTTTCGTTTCCTTTAACAAAATCTAAATAAAATATGAAATTAAATTTCAACACAATATTAATTGGTTTGTTTTGTAGCGACCGACCATAGCCGGAGTTGAGGGGGCGTATGACAAATATTATTTAACCGCTGCGCAATGCTTACCGAAATGGCTAAATTAAAATTATTTCTTATTTTTGTTGAACACAAACAAATAAATTAATGTTTAGCCTTATATGAAATGATTTTAAATTTGTTATTTTGAAATTTCTTAACCGAAATTAACAAATTTGTAGCTAAATGCTATTCCTAATAAAATTGAATAAATGCAGTTGAAAAATCTATATCGTTCTAGAGAAAAATTTAGCTAAAATTGGTAAGAACCTTCTAAAATAGTTTATTCAATTCTCGCAGAGCAATTATAGATATATACCCCCATCCTATGACATAAGTAGTACACAATTATCTTGGCATTTGTATGCGGTTTTGGTTCGCAGATGTCTGCGCAATCACTGCCTGAAGTGTGAATGAAGGTTTGGTAAAAATATTATGACGAAGAAACGAAATGAAGAAATGTTATCCTCAAAAATAATCCATG